CACCTCAAAACTTTAAGGGTGATGGACTGATTACATCGTCTTCAAGTATCTTCTGCTTCTACCAACTTTTCTGTACTTGACTGAAGAAGCCTACTGTGTAGGCGAAACGTTTCATAATAAAGATACCTAACTGTTGCATATGTGTCTTACCTAACAACCTGTCGGTATTTTATACCATTTTAATGTTCGTACCTCTCCTCCTGTTATTGATGCCTCCTCTTGTTCTTGTTTCTCTTGTCCTCTTCAGTACTTTGAAGAAACTCTTTCTGATGGATTTAAAGAAGTGCTAGACTTGCCGACACCAATAATTCTTCTTTCTGTTATGTTAGGGATCACAACCTTCCTATTGACTGGTTCTCTTCTATAACTTTCTACCCTACATCTAGCCTTCACAGACGAGATCTTGTTGAAGCATCCCTTATATGAATCTTAGTCTTGGCTTTATCTCTGTAGTTGCCTTCCTTTCTCATTATATTGTCAAAGGCTCGTGACTTGGCCTGATCTTCTGTTCTACTCTTTATATTTCCTATTTATCCTTTGTCTTCATTTTTTTCTACATAGGTGTGTTCTGTTCTTCAGTTTTTTTCCTCTATGATTTTTGTCTCACCCTCATGGGCCAGTACCTCTCCTAAAATGCTCCTTTTTCTTATCCTTAGATTTACTCCACTTCTACTTCTACTGCTATTACTACAACTACCACTACTACTACACTATCACTTTTGTATGTAAAGTAAAAGGACACAAGTGCAACTAATGTGACATTTATTGTGGCAACGTTTCGCTCTCCAGGAGCTTTATCAAGCCATTACAAACAATACATGGACACAGAGGGTATATAAAGGCTCAGAGTGAGGTGAATACTAGTGAGGTACCATTTCGATGTTCACTAGTGGTGGTAGTAGTAGTAGTAGTAGTAGTGGTAGTGACAAAAGTAATACAATATGGTAGAGCAATTAATTCGTACATGAGTAAAAGGATATAAAAGCTATTACTTGGGTAACATAAAAATAGGTTGGACAAATATAAACTGGAATGAGGCAGCTTGTTTCAGTGTTCACTCTCTGTGCTTTGTGTAGTATAACAGGAGAGACTATGTGATGGCAGGGTTTACTGTTTTCAGGAGGATTCTTGCTAAGACTTCGGAGATGGTGAAGCTGCCGTTGTTTTGTTTAATTGTATTCGAAACAGCGATCAGTGCTGATTCAAGGCACTTGCGTGTGCGGAAATTAGTTTCTTTGATCACTAATTGGGCGTCTCTGAATTTCATAAGATGATTGGTGGAATTTCGGTGTTGTACACAGGCGTTGTTTAAGTTGTTGTTCCTACATGCGTATATGTGTTCATTGAGGCGGGTGTCGAGGTTTCTTGCTGTTTCACCTACGTAGATCTTGTCACAGCCTCCACAGGGTATAGTGTAAACTCCTGCATTGACTGGTTCGTGGTGCTTGGGTTTTGTCCTGGTTAGATCCTTTATTGAAGTGGTAGAAGCGATGGCGACTCTGGTGTTAGCTTGTGAAAGTACTTTTGAGACGTTTAGTGCAACCTGGCTGTTGGGAAGAATTATAACTTTGTTGGGAGCGGTGTTGATGCGTGGAGAATTGATGATCTGAAGAGCTCTTTTCTTGCAGTCTTTGATGAAAAATGAAGGAAATTGTAACTCAGTGAATGTTTGGTGAATGTAAGTACATTCTTCGTCAAGAAACTCAGGACTACAAATTCGGTATGCTCTTAGGAACAACAACTTAAACAACGCCTGTGTACAACACCGAAATTCCACCAATCATCTTATGAAATTCAGAGACGCCCAATTAGTGATCAAAGAAACTAATTTCCGCACACGCAAGTGCCTTGAATCAGCACTGATCGCTGTTTCGAATACAATTAAACAAAACAACGGCAGCTTCACCATCTCCGAAGTCTTAGCAAGAATCCTCCTGAAAACAGTAAACCCTGCCATCACATAGTCTCTCCTGTTATACTACACAAAGCACAGAGAGTGAACACTGAAACAAGCTGCCTCATTCCAGTTTATATTTGTCCAACCTATTTTTTATGTTACCCAAGTAATAGCTTTTATATCCTTTTACTCATGTACGAATTAATTGCTCTACCATATTGTATTACTTTTGTCACTACCACTACTACTACCACCACTAGTGAACATGGAAATGGTACCTCACTAGTATTCACCTCACTCTGAGCCTTTATATACCCTCTGTGTCCATGTATTGTTTGTAATGGCTTGATAAAGCTCCTGGAGAGCGAAACGTTGCCACAATAAATGTCACATTAGTTGCACTTGTGTCCTTTTACTTTACATACTGTCGGTAATTCTACCAACTTTATTACTATCACTTTTGCTTCTATTACCAGCATTAACCCTTTCCATCTCTTGTTCCATTACTATTTATTACTACCACTACTACCAGTAAGGCCTCTACCACTATTTCTTCACTTTCGTCTTGTTTCCTCACTCTGTCCAATCCCTGTCCCCTTCTCCTGTATATACTGGCTGGCTCATCTCTGTGTTAGTGTAACTTGTCTGTGGTCCAAGTCGAACCAAAACATCGTCGTAACCTTTCTCCTATGTGCGGGTTATTTGTGTATTGTTCCAGTCACGAAATTTTGCCGTTTTGTTCTTTAGGATTGTCAGTGGAACGCCTTCCAACTGAACAAAAGAAATTAATGGAAAAATAAATAAATAAATAAATAACTTAGGAAAAATGAGAATAATGATTTTTGAGAATTTTACTTAAAATTTAAATATAATAAAAAAATTGGCCTTCAGTTTCTTTTAGTTGGGCAGGAGTAGGTATGGCCCTGGATAGTTCCTCTGATGTTATTTATGTGGGTTATCCTGGGCAGATGGTAACAATCCGATGTTCTGGAATCTCCTACCACTTGGATGGAGCACAAGTAGAATAGGTAAGGGCCGGTAGTAGTAGAATAATGTTAATAAGTATTATTAACACGTCTTGCTCCTTTATCTGGCGTCTATCCTGGAAGACCACGCCAGGAACAGAGCTGGTAAATAAGAGAAAATAAACTGGTTACCCATAGTTATGATAATATAACATTTAAGAATTGAAAAGAATGATAAATGCCGAAATCATTACTGGTAACCAGCAAACAAAATAAAGAAACAAACAGTGATACTCCTGGTATATCACCCTACCTGATTAGGAGAAGAGTGGAGGTGAAGTGACTCTCCAAACTTCAACCCACACCAGGTAAGGTCAATATTACCAGGAGTAGAAACTAACAAATCGGACACCAGGAACTAGTTTCGCCCCAGCCCGCCAGAGAGGAGGGGGGGGGGGGTGCACGCGACGTAACTAATGGTTCCTGGTTGCCCGAACAACCTTAACCCCACTTACACCTACTTTTCCCTCACAAGGATATTAAGTAATAAAGAAAGAGGATCCAGGGGAGGGTAAGGTGTTACAGTGTTAATCAGAAACCAGGAGAGTTAAAAGATATTAGAGGAATAAACAGAAATAAGTCTCATATATTCATAGTGGGTGAAGTTAAACAAAGGGAGCAGCTCACTGTAATGGAAGAAGTGATGTACAACCCGCGCCACAAGACGGTAAGAGACCGAGACGGAACTATAAACACACTAACAAATCAAAGAGGATAAACAACGCATTGATAAAAAACTTCAACATGAAAAACATTTCAGATTGGGTTTAATATTTAATGTTTACACCAAACAATATACAACAGTAATTTGGCGAAATAAAGAGTGATATGAGAAAGACCTGGAAAACCCTCTCGGAAATCCTGGACTCTTGAAAACAATCCAGAAATAGAGATATTGTCTTAAGCAAATCAGATGAACCTCACATCTAGCCAACAGACACAGCCAGTATTCTAAATGATTTCTTCTTCGCTACAAAATCAAAACTAGCAAAATCACAACTTGAAATAGTCTGGAGAGAGATTACATTCACTTTTAACAAAATTCACTAAAAGTCCAACTAATCCTACTGAAGTTTTACTTATAAAGACACTGAAAAACAAGACAGGATGCCTAAGTAATTCCTCAACACTAATGTACAAAGGAGCTCATATACTTTCACCGACTATTGCAACTCTATTCATTAAATCAACAGAATCTACAACTTTTCCAACCCTCAAAGGAGGCGATCCAGCTGAAATAAACAGTTATATATCAATATCCAACTAGTCATTACTATCCAAAATCCATAAACGAGCTAACTTATCCCAAGTGTCTCACAATATACTCAGTCAATGCCAGTTTTGTTTTAGGCCAAAAAAAGTACAAATGAAGCAATTATAGAAGTGTATGAACTGGTTTGCGTGATTCTTGATTAAAATAAACATTCTTTGGACTATTTATTGGCCTGCAGTAAGATTTTGAAATAGTGGGGCACAACATCCTGTACCGCACACTAGAGCAGGAGTCTCCAGACTTTTCACTTTGAGGTCACATCATATATTTTACACATTTTCGCCGGCCACATGAAAACAATCAGTCTTATATAAATGAATGAATAAAATATAAATGAATAAATTCTATTTGTAACCACTTTGTAGTCAGCATGTGGCTCTAGCTCTCAATGAGGCGGGCCAGTACAACGTGGGTTCGACTCCTTGGCTAGTGTAGTGTTGTTATTGATCAATACCACTCGTTCGTGGGTACAATAATATATATATATTATATATATATATATATATATAATATATATATATATATTATATATATATATATATATATATTATATATATGTATATAAATATATATAATATATATATATATATATATATAATATATATATAATATATATATATATATATATATTATATATATATATATATTATAATTTATTTATTTATTTATTTATTTATTTCGGTAAATAAATATTAAATGTATATTAAATATATAAATGATAACACATAGGCAGACATGCAAAAGCAATCAGCCAGGGTACTGACAAGGTCTTTTCTGTGGTAAACGATTCTGTGAGAATACTTACAAGTTCTCAAGTGACGACTGACTGGAAAATACACCAGAAGGAAGAGCTTCCAGAAGATTTTCCTCGAGTGACCTGGAATATGTGTTAAAAATAATTAGCAACAGGAAATGCTCAACTATATGATGGAAAGTACCGATTCTTTTAAATATAATTAAGAGAATTCATATTATCAGAGTCATTAAAAAACGAAATTAAGATTTAGAGCATGTAAAATTGTTTTTATAAATGATTATTAAAATAATTAAGAAATATGTGAGTAAAATAGAATATTAACACAGAAGCATCAAAGACAATTCTTATGGAAAAATTAAAATTTACCTGGATGAATCTCGTTAGACATATACTAGTAATTTTATTACCTGGATGAATCTCGTTAGACATATACTAGCAATTTTATTACCTGGATGAATCTCGTTAGACATATACTAGTAATTTTATTACCTGGATGAATCTCGTTAGACATATACTAGTAATTTTATTACCTGGATGAATCTCGTTAGACATATACTAGTAATTTTATTACCTGGATGAATCTCGTTAGACATATACTAGTAATTTTATTACCTGGATGAATCTCGTTAGACATATACTAGTAATTTTATTACCTGGATGAATCTCATTAGACATATACTAGTAATTTTATTACCTGGATGAATCTCGTTAGACATATACTAGTAATTTTATAAAAGTAACAAATTATTCTTTATCAAGGTTACAGAGTCATGTAGGAATTTTAGGACATTGTAGGTCGCAAAAAATGTCCTCCTTCGACACCTACTCCACTTATATCTCCACAAGTCACTCTGTACCTATATTAATTTCAAATGAAATATACATTGCCAGGAGTTTACCTGGAGAGAGTTCCGGGGGTCAACGCCCCCGCGGCCCGGTCTGTGACCAGGCCTCCTTAGGTCAGTGTCCCAGGATGCGACCCACACCAGTCGACTAACACCCAGATACCCATTTAACTGATGGGGAACATAGACAACAGGTGGAAAGAAACACGTCCAATGTTTCTACTCTGGCTGGGAATCGAACCCAGGCCCTCACCGTGTGAAGCGAGAGCGTTAACCACCAGGCCACCAGAGCCCCCTGGAATTCTGGTACAACATTAATATAAATATATGGACTGTATGTTAAATTTAATAAATGACTTCATATACATTGAATGAGAATTTATAATAATAACACTCACCAATTTGTCTGGAGATTACTTGGTGTGTCATACACAAACCCCTGCCTAAAATATGAAGAAAATACTAGCCACAATTTCAACATAAATAGACATCACCTGGGTTAATTTATCCTATTCCCAGCTAATTACGGAGTCCTGTCCAGTCGCCTTATTCTCACGTTCTGCAGGACTGCAAATCCAACAATTTTGGCTCCTATTTGAGAGGTTTTAAACACAATTTAATCTCTAGAGCGACGAAAATTCTTCTGATTTTCTCTAACTTTCTCTTGCCCAGTTCAAAAACAATGGCGACCCTCCTTCCCCAGCGACACTCACCACTCTCGCTGGTTCTTTATTTATTTACAAATTAATTTTATTAACTACAATATATTCCATCAATTTACATACAAAATACACTGTATTTTCGGAAAATATACAGTATTTTCCACAATTCTTATACACGCAGTGTTGTGTTGCTGAGGTCAACTAGCAATGACGTGTTTCTGAGGTCAACTAGCAATGTTGTGTTGCTGAGGCCAACTACCAGTGTTGTGTCGCTGAGGTCAACTAGCAGTGTTGTGTTGCTGAGGTCAACTAGCAATGTTGTGTTGCTGAGGTCAACTACCAGTGTTGTGTTGCTGAGGTCAACTAGCAATGTTGTGTTGCTGAGGTCAACTAGCATTGTTGTGTTGCTGAGTTTAACTAGCAATGTTGTGTTGCTGAGGTCAACTAGTAGTGTTGTGTTGCTGAGGTCAACTAACAATGTTGTGTTGCTGAGGTCAACTAGCAGTGTTGTGTTGCTGAGGTCAACTAGCAATGTTGTGTTGCTGAGGTCAACTAGCAGTGTTGTGTTGCTGAGGTCAACTAGCAATGTTGTGTTGCTGAGGTCAACTAGCAGTGTTGTGTTGCTGAGGTCAACTAGCAATGTTGTATTGCTGAGGTCAACTAGCATTGTTGTGTTGCTGAGGTCAACTAGCAGTGTTGTGTTGCTGAGGTCAACTAGCAATGTTGTGTTGCTGAGGTCAACTAGCATTGTTGTGTTGCTGAGGTCAACTAGCATGTTGTGTTTGCTGAGGTCAACTAGCAATGTTGTGTTGCTGAGGTCAACTAGCAGTGTTGTGTTGCTGAGGTCAACTAGCATTGCTGTGTTGCTGAGGTCAACTAGCAGTGTTGTGTTGCTGAGGTCAACTAGCATTGTTGTGTTGCTGAGGTCAACTAGCAGTGTTGTGTTGCTGAGGTCAACTAGCATTGTTGTGTTGCTGAGGTCAACTAGCATTGTTGTGTTGCTGAGGTCAACTAGCAATGTTGTGTTACTGAGGTCAACTAGCAGTGTTGTGTTGCCAAGGTCGACTAACAACGTTGTGTTGCCAAGGTCGACTAACAACGTTGTGTTGCCAAGGTTGACTAACAACGTTGTGTTGTCAAGGTCGACTAACAACGTTGTGTTGCCAAGGTCGACTAACAACGTTGTGTTGCCAAGGTCGACTAACAACGTTGTGTTGCCAAGGTCGACTAACAACGTTGTGTTGCCAAGGTCGACTAACAATGTTGTGTTGCCAAGGTCGACTAACAACGTTGTGTTGCCAAGGTCGACTAACAATGTTGTGTTGCCAAGGTCGACTAAAACGTTTTTGTTGCCAAGGTCGACTAACAACGTTGTGTTGCCAATGTCGACTAACAACGTTGTGTTGCTGAGGTCGACTAACAACGTTGTGTTGCCAAGGTCGACTAACAACGTTGTGTTACCAAGGTCGACTAACAACGTTTGTGTTGCCAAGGTCGACTAACAACGTTGTGTTTTCCAAGGTCGACTAACAACGTTGTGTTGCCGAGGTCGACTAACAACGTTGTGTTGCCAAGGTCGACTAACAACGTTGTGTTGCCGAGGTCGACTAACAACGTTGTGTTGCCAAGGTCGACTAACAACGTTGTGTTGCCAAGGTCGACTAACAACGTTGTGTTGCCAAGGTCGACTAACAACGTTGTGTTGCCAAGGTCGACTAACAACGTTGTGTTGCCAAGGTCGACTAACAACGTTGTGTTGCCATGGTCGACTAACAACGTTGTGTTGCCAAGGTCGACTAACAACGTTGTGTTGCCAAGGTCGACTAACAACGTTGTGTTGCCAAGGTCGACTAACAACGTTGTGTTGCCAAGGTCGACTAACAACGTTGTGTTGCCAAGGTCGACTAACAACGTTGTGTTGCCAAGGTCGACTAACAACGTTGTGTTTGCCAAGGTCGACTAACAACGTTGTGTTGCCAAGGTCGACTAACAACGTTGTGTTGCCAAGGTCGACTAACAACGTTTGTGTTGCCAAGGTCGACTAACAACGTTGTATTGCCAAGGTCGACTAACAACGTTGTGTTGCCAAGGTCGACTAACAACGTTGTGTTGCCGAGGTCGACTAACAACGTTGTGTTGCCAAGGTCGACTAACAACGTTGTGTTGCCAAGGGCGACTAACAACGTTGTGTTTGCCAAGGTCGACTAACAACGTTGTGTTGCCAAGGTCGACTAACAACGTTGTGTTGCCAAGGTCGACTAACACGTTGTGTTGCCAAGGTCGACTAACAACGTTGTGTTGCCAAGGTCGACTAACAACGTTGTGTTGCCAAGGTCGACTAACAACGTTGTGTTGCCAAGGTCGACTAACAACGTTGTGTTGCCAAGGTCGACTAACAACGTTGTGTTGCCAAGGTCGACTAACAACGTTGTGTTGCCAAGGTCGACTAACAACGTTGTGTTGCCAAGGTCGACTAACAACGTTGTGTTGCCAAGGTCGACTAACAACGTTTTTGTTGCCAAGGTCGACTAACAACGTTGTGTTGCCAAGGTCGACTAACAACGTTGTGTTGCCAAGGTCGACTAACAACGTTGTGTTGCCAAGGTCGATTAACAATTTCGTCACCTTGAAGAATGTGCTTAAGTTCCATTATTTTGTTTATCAGTTTCAAGGTTTCTATAATAGCAATTTTTCATGCTTCGTTTTAAAGGTTCTACCTTCACTTAGTCTTGAAAAGTTATGTATCAATATTTGTATAATGTGTTGTCTAAGGTGTTAGCAAAGTTACTGTTTCTCTGGTTAATCGGGAGCATTAGACATTTGCTGATGAGAAATAGTCTGGTGTTACTTGAAAAAAATTCTGATTTTCTTTCTCATTTGGTGATGAAGTGTCTCAGAGAGGTTCAGGACGATTCTTTGATGTAGACACATTCTTCTCTCAGGAATTTGATAGAGGAAGAGTTTGTATTGTCTCCTTATTTGGTTCTGTTGTCGCGGTGGTGCAAAAAGGTGAATTAGGACAGAAATATATAACGATATTCTGAGACAAGGAGTGTCTTCAGCAAAACCTGTGAGCTGGAGGATGTCCTCAGCGAAAATCTGTGAGGTAGGGAATGTCCTCAGCAAAAATATTTGATGCAGGGTATGTTCTCAGGGAAAAACGTGTGAGATAGGGTAGGTTTTCAGGGAAAAACACCTGCGAAAAAAGGAAATATCCTCAGCAAAACACTTGCCAATTCGTGTGTCCTCAGCCCCCCTCCCCCCCCCCGAGAAAAAAAGGAGATAGGGTAAGACGTTGCCAACAGCTCAGCAACATAGAATTTACATAATGAAAAAATCATTACTTTATGAAACTTATTCACAAAGAATGATACGTTATGCAAATTTTCGACTCGGTGAGAGGAAAGTAGGTAAGATCACACCAGAGTGAGATATCGGAAGGATGCTTCAAGCTGAAGAAATTATTTAACTGACAAGTGTATCTCTAAATAAACTGAAAAACAGCATATGCGAGTGAAGAGAATAACATCTTGAGTATTACTTTTGCTAACAAAGTGACACTTTTGAGTTTAAATCACATACAACTTGCACATGTATAAAAAGTGCAGATGAG